GACGGACTGTGACAGATGTGTAACGGAAATTACAAATAAGGGTTTTTTTTTGTTCAATTGGTATAGACGAGAATTGGTATAGATGAGGGGTTAAAAGTGTTTAGGGGTGTTCGCGGTGTGGTTTGATTCGGATTTTAATATTTTTTAAACCAATCCAATTTAATCGGTTAGTAAAATTTTTAAATCAATCCAATCCACTATTATATAATAACCAAACCAATCCAATTTAAATCGGATCGGTGTTGTTCGGTCGGATTAATCGATTTTTAACATTATTAAATATATGAGATAATATAAAAAATTTTAACATTAACTAGAAAACATAATTATAAAATAAATTAACATCCAAATCACTAGAAACTTAATAAAATGCACAAATTATAAATAAGTTCTTATACTCATTTACAATTGTAAAGATTGAAAACATCAAAAAATTCATTTTAGCTATATTACTAGAGGCACTAAGTATAATAAAAGATAATTCTAAATTTTAAATACAATGCAAATAATTTTTAAAGGTTAAAACTAGTTTTATTTTCTTAATGCACAAGATGATTCAATCCCATCTTCCAAACCTTGTTAAAAGCAAATAAAGTTTAACATGAATGTCATTAGGAATGATTAGAAGCATTCATAATTAAGATTTAAAACTCTTTAACCAAACATCCAACAATAGTAGAATATCAAAATTATTTCTATTATATAGTTTTAAGACTTATGGAATGATATTTCTTAAAATTTAGTTAGGAGAATCAAAATATTATTTTAATAACAAATTAAAAATTTAGAATTCTAAAAGTAGAGTCGTAGACCAGTTCTAAGAGATAGAGTTGCAGGTGAATTGGAAATTTAGAATTCAAGTTAAAGTACATGATTTAGAAAGGAAAATAAATTATAAAATATAAGAATATTTTATTTTTATTTTTTAATTAAGTTAATGAAGTTATCATCTTGTAAAATAAAGAAAAAATTTAAAATATTACAAAAAAAATATACTATATTATTTAATTAAGTTATCTTATAATCGGATTTTATTTTATAATCAGGCGGTTCGGGTAGTTTGAAGGTAAAATCATAAACCAAACCAATTATATCGGTTTTAAAATTTTATAAACCAAACCAACCCAATTTTATATTGGTTTGGTTTGGTTTTTTATCGGATTGGATCAGTTTAGGTCGGATTAATCGAATTGGATCGGATATGAACACCCCTAAAAGTGTTATAGTATAAGGTGAGGGGTTAAAACCTTTAGACTTATCAAGATAATGATATAGAGGCAAAAAAAATCTGACAGTCATAATACGACAGAAGTCACTTTATTAAATTAATTGATATATATATAATATTATGTATTTTAATAAAATAAAAAAATAAATTATTAAATTATATAAAATTTATCATTTAAAATTTAAAATGATATAATTTATGTCACATTGTTAATTTTAAATTTTAATATTAAATTTTAATTTTATTTATTATTATTCTATTAAAACATTCGTGCTCATTGGAAGCATACTTTTACACTATGTTTGGACAAAAATTAATAAAAGAGAGTGAAGGAAAGGAAGGGGAATTAAAGAGAGGGAAAGGATAGGAGAGTAAAGGATTAGTGTTAATTTTGTTTGGATAGATTAAAAAAGAGAAAGGAAAGGAAGGGAGAGATTATGTTTTTTTATTTAATTAAATTAATTAAAGAAAAATAATTATAAAATTAATTAAAATTTATAAATTTATATATTAAGATTAAATTTAAAATATAATTTTCAATT